TCCTGTATTCAACCTGATCTGCAAAAAAAGTTTTTACTGCTTGAGCCCTTTCCCCCTAACAACCCTTAAAGTTTTAAAAAATTACTCAGGAAATTCAAGGACTCAATGTAACTTGCTTCCATAAACCAAGAGCTGCTTTCTGACCCACATAAACATCATGGTTATGTGGTTAACAACCACAGAAACTCTTAAGGACTTCCAGTAGAGTAACAAATATGCTGCAGCCAATGGCAGCTAAAATACACAGCAAGGCCACAGATAATCATTCTAATAAATGTGAACCTTAGATGCTCTCAAGTGTTAGGGTAATGTATAAACTCTTGCTGAAACAGGAATTAATTTCTACTCTATGTGGCAGCTGGTGATCATTATGAGAGACGACTTTAATCTCCTGCTCCGAACCTCATTAAACGCACAGATGTCCGTGCCAAATTCTGCATGCTGCCTGCCTAGTGCAGCTAAAATAAAAACCATGGATTAAACATTATGCAAAGCTCTTTTAATATTTTCAATCAACAACACTGAAGACTATATTAAACACTGAAGACTATTTTAAACACTACAGTACTCGTGTAAAAGGCTGTTCATTGTTTTACCTTTATTTTTTTTATCAACGCTACAAAACCCACAATCCCACCATCAACATACTTTGTCTCCAGGAGCTGTGTGTTTTCAAGGATGAGGTTTTCTACTTCACGGCCCATACCTGATGAAAAGAGAAAGGGATGTTTCCTTAGAAGATGCTTTGGACAACACATGATCAAGTCTAGACTCTTCAGACTTTTATATTTTATATTAATAAAAGCCTTGGCATGGAAAATATGTTTCACTCTGGTTCCAAAACCATCTGTCAAAACTACACAGTGATATGATAGGATGTCCATCTTATAAATTAATTTATTCTGAGGCTGGGTTGCCAACCAACTTTCTTGGTAAGTTTTACCTTATGTGTGGATTCAAACCTCTCATTGAATAATGAGATTCCAACATCTAAGAATGGATTTATTAATTTATCAGTGATCATCTAGTAATGTTTTGCTATTGAAATAAGGACTGATTTTTTTTATATTGAATTATATTAAGAGTTTCCATTTATGAACATATAAAAAAACTGTTTCAATGCTGAAAGAAATTGAAAATTTTCCATGGACACAGAGAATTGAGAACCCCTTATTTATTCTCCTATAATCCTATATCCTGTAAAACTATACTTAAAATCAGTAGGTAGGAACCTTATAAGTCTCAGAGTGACAGACATGAAGCACATTCAAAAACACTTAGGTAAAGAACACAGTGAAGCAGATGAGGTCTTACCAAAGAAACTACAGTCTGAAAACCCATACAATCCATGTAGAGCAGAGGGAACAGAAAATGTAGACAATGAGACAGAAAACAGGAAGGCAAGATTAAGCTATGAGATGGACATGTGCAGGGATCAAAGAATGTCAACAGATGGTATTTGAGTCCTGAAAATGGAGGAAAAAATTGCAAGCGCAGAATTTTAATACAAACACCCCTAGTACCCTTTCTTCAAAGTCACAAACACTTCAAAATGAACACATGAATGACACAAGGAAGTAAGCTGCATGTATTGTGATGTGTAATGCAATTCACCTACAACCTCCTGTAACAATAAAACAAAGGCCAATGTTTGCATTGGGACTGTAAAGTAAACACTGCAGAGAGAACCTGTTTCATGGATTATTGCTATAGACATTGATTTTTCTTTCTTTTCATTAGTGGAGTGTCATATGGTTGCCATGAAAGACTGAATTAAAAATTATAGGCATAGCTGAATTATTGACAGTTGTTTAAGGAACAGCTGGATGATTGCTCATCTTGCAGAGGACATCTCAAAATTGGGGAAAGAAAACTGATATGATAGAATCATCAAAGAGAACTCTGAGGAAAAGAAAAGAGAAAAAAAATGACAGAATACAGAAAAGACAAAGTATACACACCAGAGTATTCCACTGGAGGAACAAACGCCCAACACAGAAGACAGCATGAAAAGAGAAACCCTAGTTAGCTTGACTGGACATTTATCAAATAGCTTGATGGGACTTCCATAAAACAAAAAGAGGGTTTATTTTCCTTATAATGTACAAAACTAAAATGGAATTCTTATGTTACATTTGGCTGTGGAAAAGGAAAATTGGACTTTATTCAGAACGATTAAAAAAAAAAAATAAAGACAGGCCCTTACTGTTCTTACAACCTCTCATTAATGTATTAACAGGGCAGCTTTCTTTCAACATTTTATCTCCACCAAGGTGACTCTTACTTCTACTCCAATGAAATAATTAATCAGCTAGTAATTAACAGTGTTTTCTACAAGTCACCTTTTAATAAAGAAAATGCAGACATTTATAGGGTCAATCAGTAAAATTATTTTTAATGATAATGTTGATGATGATGCCTTGGAAAACATAGATGCGTTTCAAGTGAGTTTTAAAATAAGGCATGTCATTTGAAAATTCTTACTACAGATTGAAAAGGTAGATAGAATAATCCAAATTGGGATCCCTGAAAAAATTCTGTAACCTGCTCATAATTTTGTTTAACTTCACACACCATTCCAGGGGGAATTTCAGTGCCATAATTTCAAAGGTCTTGGTTTCTAGGCCCACAAGGGCATTAATCTAGACCCCTCTGAACCCCTGGGTAAGGACTCAGCCCTTCTACAGCACTGTTGAAACCAGACTTACAGGAAGTAAAGACTAGAAGAGTTTCATAAGAGTTCTTTAGTTACAAACCTTACCTTTAGATAAGTTTGTGCTTCTTATGATTTCCAAGACAAAAATACTACATTGATCGAATTCTCACTAGTGCTATGAATCAGACCATGTTGGATCTGAAATCCAGTTTAAATAAGTCTGATATATAGATTTGGAATTAAGGGCTGTCATGAGTTCTGAAACCCAATGGAAACTTTTCCCAGTAACACACAAGGGGGCTAATGTATTTGGCACAAGTCTACTAAATACCCGGTACAATAGAAAGAGGCAGACACCAAGTTGGAAAGATTTAGAAAGACGGAAAGCCCACAAAACAAAAAAGGCAGGCAAAACACTCAGTAAACGTTATTTTGTGCATGAAGTCCCACCAAAAAAAGCATTCCTGTTTTTATCCTTATCTACTAAGAGAGCGAACTCTGTTCTTTGATATGACCACAGGATCAGTTATGACCCAACAATTATAATGTATTTAAGCAATTTATTTCATTTAATTTTATATGCACCCTCCCAATGGGATTGATAAACACATTGCTATAGGAACAGACTGTAATGTTATGGACTCTGAATGCTCAGAAATGAAGCAAACCCTACACTGTTCTGCTCTAACTTCTATATGTCCCAGTTCAGAATCATTAAGTGCTAACCAAACTCTGCCCAGCCCAGCTGTGGAATGGAGAATCAGTGAAGCTCATGGACACCTGGGCTCCAGGGCACTGAATGAGTTTCTTAAGTGGTGCAGTCACTATGGATCTTGTGCTCTGTGTATTGCAAAGCTCAAGTGACTGTTTAACTTCCAAAGGCTGAGAAAAAAAAAACATTGGCACCAAATTCTACTGTTCTTTCTTTATAGGAGCTGGTGGTGAATTCAATTTACATTTATTCATTTGATTTGATTGCTGCTCACACAACCATTTCTACAATGGGCAAGAGATTTAAACTTAGTGAGTCTGAGAAGAAAAATTCCAAACACAAAAAAGTGAGAGTTGGTGTCTAATTATTTGGGGGGAAAGTAAGTACAAAATTGAAACTTATTCTCCATTAATCTTGCTATTGTGAAATGAATCATAAAATCCTGTTTAGTTCAACTACACAATTATCAAGATCATTTCAATAAAAAAAAAAAAAGTTAAAAAAAAAAAAAAACATTCTACCCAAATAGCTTCTTTGTTTGCTCATAGGCGATCTCATCCAGTTGTTTCTTGTAAGAAGCCAACTTTCAACAGGGCTGTACAGCTTTTTTTAGACTACTGTTTTCAGTTCGAAATGAATAGTTTTAACAGGGTTTCCCTGTAGTTTTCACTCTTCCTCTAACACCTTTATTTTTGAGCAAGCAGTTTACTCAGACTTACTACATACCTGAAAACAACAGACCCAAAGGTCTCAGCCTGAACTCTGCCTCCTGTGCAGAACGTCAATGCAAGGGATCTGCCTAATGAGCCCAGCAGCCTCACCACCTCAGTCTCTTACCCAGCAAGTCAGCTCCTTCGTCCACATCCCCGATGAGCCCCGATCCAGCAGAGGACAGCTCCTCAAACAGAGATTCTGTGTTCCGGTCAAACGCCTTGTTTTCAATGCCTTTGGTTGGAGTGCTGGTGGGGGGGAAACAGATGTTCTTACTGGAATTTCACACAGGAACCAGTCCATAGGAAAAAGTCCTGCAGAAGGGAGACTGGGCCGTGAGGTGCACAGTGGGTTCAAACCCGACATGCACCGATGAAATTAGCAAACTCAGTATTTATGTTACCAGGTACCACACGAGGTCACTGCAGCAAATGTTACACCTAGTGAGCTTCAACTAAAATATTATTTTTGATACATGCTAAATATCTGAAGAAAATGCTGACTGATATATGAAATATGATGCAAAAAGCTTGATTTTCCTTTTTTGCTCCCATGTTTTCTGAAAAGCTCAAGAGCTTAACATGCAGTTGAGGTTGTTTTGCACTGTCTGTGCATAACAACCAGGTCTAAAGAACACTTTTTTAAACTGTATGTACATTAACTAATAAATAATATTTTACTTATAATACTATAAAAGGGATTCAATCGTATTGTTTCGCAGTTCTAATTCATGGACACCTGTCGATAACATGGCTTTAAAAGTAGTCCTGATAGGCCAACATGTATGTTGATAAAGATGCATCCTGACCATCTTCTCAGGTCCTGAGGGGTTTAAGGAATGTTTCTGGAGTGCTGCACCAGCCCATCTCTCAGAGCTTCTCCAGGGCAGTAAAGTGCTGGGTCCTGCAGTGTCACTACTGATCTGACTCTTCAGCTGCTGGGAGACTGAACCCAACCAGACTTGCCGGATCCAGCCAGTTCTGGTCCCTCGCTGTCAGCCTCTCTGGAGTGCAGGAAACTGCAGGAATTACCTATTACCACAACCGCTACCCCCGATTCCTCAGATAAAAGATTATCCTTAGAATGTGAGAACCACCCTGTAGTATCTGTAGCACAGGCACTGTTTCCTCACCTGGCACCTTTGTAGCCACTGAGGTCCATGTCCAGCTCTGGGGTAGACTCAATGATGGCCTGCACTTCCGACTTCTCCTCATTGTCAGCCAGACCTTCAAAACAAAACTTTACTAAGCCATAGTATCAGAATTCAAGTGACTGCCTCACTGAAAAACAATAACTTAGACAATGTATTCTACTATTTCCAGCTACCTTTTCTCCTGCAGTATTTTAAAGAACTTTAACTGCACAAAGGGTGAAGAATGGTAATACGCAATACGTTTTCATATTCAGCAAGTAAAAGAACTGTGTGTTTGTGCACAGGAGTTCACAGTTTCCTTCTAAGGAAAGACCCTCAGGCCTCTCACATCTGTATAATTTAACAGCTTTAATGCTGTTATCACTACTAGCTGGCTTGTATGGATCCTTGATTTTCTGTCCCAGAAGCACTGTTTTTTTACAGAAGTTTCCTTCTTCAGTTTATTAAGTGAAGGAAATAACTACCCAAAAACAAAATAAATGGGAAATGGACTGTTATTCATTGCATTTCAGTTATATGAAATATACAGATAGAGTACCGTGAGTCTTGCCACTTTATCCACCACATATCTGAGAGAACAAGGTCTGAAACGCAACACTGCAGACTGGTCACTGATATTTATATTTTGAAATAAAAAATAAGAGCATTTTAGAAAATGTCACAAACTTTAGGCAAAGTATGGATAATTGCTATATTCATATTCAAAAACTTTAAGTAAAACTATAGCAATTCCTGCAATTTGGTAAATATGCAAAACAAATAAAACTTGGATGCTGGAATTAGGACATAGATTTTGAATAGACCAATCACAGCTTACAAGCCAAGTGACATTGGTTGGAGCGGAAAACATTTTTTCTCCATCAATAAAGAAAATCATAGTGAGGATGAGTAATGCAATTTAAAATTTATACTGGCAAATGTCTGCAGTTGTGAGCACGCTGAATGCTACATGTTACACATGTAGGTCACCATGTTGGAATAAAAGCTTAAGTATTTTGAAACCAGGCTTTTCACTGCAGGATGACTGGATTATCAAAATGCTTCTCAAACTAAAAGAAATGTACTTATCATCTATTCTGCATTTGCTAAGACAAATGTTGATGCCTAAGCACAGAGCAACACAGATGTCTCCGATCAGCAGTTTCATATTTCCTATCAGCTGTTCACTCAGAAAACCTGCTGTGATCAGACCAGAAATTGCAAATGAGTTTTCTTAACTGCTATAAAAGCATAGGTGACACAGACATTTATGACAGCAGAAAAAAAAGTTAAGGGTCATATTTGCGGTCACAAACATGAAAGCCACTGCTTTTGCGTGAATTAAAAAAAAGTTTTAATTTCTTCTCCAATCATGTCAGAAATACTGACTAGTTGTTCAGTGGCAAGAAAAGTGAGACAGCTCAGAGTCTTTTGTGTCATGCAGTGCAATTCATCTTGGCAAACGTGTGATAATTAATGGGTTCATTTTCAGGAACAATCTAATTCTCCACCCTGCTCAGGGTTTGGTGAATGTGGAGTCTATAAATACTGTCGTGTTAGAGAGCCATCAATGATAAAGGTGCTGCAAGTCACCCACAACCATCTACACGCATTTGTTCAGCTTCCAGTAGTCCGAGACCAATTACAACAGGATGTGATGTACAGAGCTCTTCTGTACATTAATATTTATAACTGTATCCTTACTGATGATGGTAGTTTGTCGACATCCTGCCAGGGTAGGACACTGGCAGGATGTCGCCAGGGTCATCCTCCTGATTTGTACGTTAAGTTCATAGCCTCTGATGTAAGATGAAAATGAGAACCCTGCGCCAGCAGTGAGAAAGTGCAAAAAGATTGCATAAAGCAAGGAGTAAATCCCATTGTTATAGAAAGGGGAAGACACTTTCCCTGTCACACTTTCTGTTTAATGAGTACTCACCTATAGAAACAGACCT